TTATGACCATGGACCAATATGGAATAGAAACTCGAATTCAATACGATGTTAGATTCTTGTTTACCAGTTTAAGGCGCATTCACAGCTACGTCGTGTGTCGGGTCATACGATGTGAAGAAGTGGGCAGGGTAACTATAGTTACAATGTTAACCACCATATTGTTTTGAAATTACCAATTTGTTATCAGTAATCACAATCATGTCATTTTAGTCAATATTCAATAATAATAGTGATAGTAAATTAATAATCTATAACCACTCTTTAACCGCTTATACCWGAAACGACAAAAGTTGAGATGTATTCAATTCTAGGTATCCTCGGKTTAWACTTGGTTATACCAACTTAMCARAAGTTAAACGTCCAATCAGAATGCGATTTGACCAACACGACACGACACACGACGTAGCTGTGAATCCGGCTTTATCCGTATAACTGTCTAACCTCATCTTATTATTCTTATATCATATCTTGCCATCTTGGTATGACCATTGATTATACATAGATGACGCATACTAATATCAATGGTACGACGTACGATTACAGTTATTTTAGTCGTAAATTAATAAATAGTATAAATAACTAGTATTGTAGAATAAATGACGTAAAGTTATTACTATTATGGAATTTTTTTTATCTTATCGGTAAATGTGCTAATGACTAGTGACTATAGTCGATGCGATCGGTCTCGGTCGTTCATTATCCATAATAATATGCAGTTGAGCAACGAGCGGTATAAAACGCGGTATTTTATAAAAAAAACTCAATGATAAAATGGATTATACTAAAAAGTATATATTATACTTGTATATATATTACTTATATTAACCTAACCAACTCCGCCGCGGTACATGACGTGTTCGTGTGCGCATGTGCGTACGTTCGTTCATATTCTATGGCAGGTGGGTGGGTAGGTGGTTTTTGTGGGCTGGCAGGCCGATGGATGGGCGGGGATGTTGGATGACAGTCCATCCAATAGAATATCCATTCCTCCCATACTCAGTAGGCACGCTTGGTAGGTGCGTGCCTGTTGCGCCTATATCGAACAACCGGTGGTGGAAACCGCCGCCGCCGTCGTTGGGACTTATAAAACRGCACGCACAGGCCACATCAGAACTCATTGCGCGTTTATCATCTGTCTATTTTATTTACTTGTTTAATTTTAGCGTTGTTCTGTCTGTGGATCATACCATCCATTTCTAACGATAATTACCGTTTATGATTCGAATTACTTCATTTTCTCACCGAACCCACACTACCATGGCGTCCACGACAAGTTTATTAATTTTGCTGTTGATCGCATCTCCCATGTTAACAATCTCCGAAAAGCTTCCCGAGATGTTTCCATCAGAACCTGCACAGGGCAATCATTTTCGAGGTAAGCAATTATAATACATAAACCATAAAAACAAATGGATATTATTTTTGCATGTAGGTATAAGGTACGTTTATATCGTTAAAAACTATATTTTTTGTTTTTACCGTTATTATTATATTGTTGTTTTATTAATTTAAATAATTAATTATATTATTTTTAGTTACTTCAATATAATTGTTATAAATGATCTATAAATTATATAGGTACTTATCCAATATTTCCCAATTTTACTCAACTAATAATAATAACAATAGTAATAATAATATGATACGCAAAGGATATTAGCAGTACATATAGAAATTTTTATTTTTAAGTTTATATTAGGTATTTGTAAAATGTTGGAACTTTTATTTTATATATATTTGTGTATATAATTTATACATGTGCAAAATATTGTTATCATCCTTGACGGTACTTTTTGAGTAAATTTAGATAAAAAAAAACCTTGAAAAATAATAACTACCAAATCGCACTTTAACTTGTCAAGTGTACATGTTTATTTGCTCTTTTTCATTTTTTATTAACAGTTATGCGCAAATCTATTATTTATAGCCTAATATTGTATTTTTTCTATCCGCCTCACAAAAATAAATTATGATAAATAAATCCATTACAAAAAGCCATTTTATTTTRCTAATTTCGTATTCAAATTTTTGACCCAGTCTTAAATAATATATTATTTAATAATTATTATTGGCCTGCGACTAGCAGTTAAATTAATTTTTATCTGTAATAATCACCACAGACGCGTAGATAGGTACTAATAATAATTTCCTCGTCCGTTGGATATATTACACCTACTAATTTTTTCATGAGATACAATCTTAATTTCTTAATAATAATACGCAGCATTATATTATCGTTCACATAGTAAGGTTTTTTTTATTATAATTTTATATTGCTTATTTTCATGATAAAATCTCATGTTTTACTTAAAGACTAGTCTTAAAAGCAGTAGTAGTATTAAGTAAAAAAAAATACTTATAAATTATAATATATTGTTTATTGTCTAGGTATATACATTTATCTTAACCACTTACTTTTATATCTTGAATTTTTGTTTTTTTTTATTGATTTGGACAAAAAAATTGGTAATAGTTAGTGAATTCCGTTTGTTAGAAGACATAATTTAATTATATAATTAAAAGTTTAATAAGTAATAACTCGTAATAATAAATAAATACCACAATTTTACATGATTGTTCAAATATGATATTGTGATGTCAACGTTAATACAACCAAAAACCAAGTGAACAATAAGTCTTGTGTATGAACTATTATTATAAACAACTTTCAAAATACCCAAAATTCGTTATCGTGTTACCTCGTGTTCTACTAATTGCGGTCGAATAAAATATTATTGTGCGACGTGTATGCTCTATACTTATATACCTAGTTATATTCATACATTTATTGTCATTACCTATATTTTATCGATTACGGCAACGGTTACGAAAGTCGATAAACAGCAAACGTGAAGACAACACTATATTAAATTATTAGTATTGTACTATTATGTTATGTGTTATGCATAATTATTTATTACAAATAATATTAGAAAATATGACATATAGGTAATAGATCAAAAATGAAAAACGCGATTTTTTCGGCCATGTGGGCCGGGGGGGTTTGAACCCCCAAAACCCCACCCTTGCTCACGGAYCTGCTATATTTAATATATTGGCATAATCAAGGTCCATGGACATAAATTATAAAATAATAGAGAAGGAATTTTTACTTTTTTTATTTATTTGAAAAATCGAATTTTAATAAAATTCTCAGGTGGTGCGTTTGCACCACCTGCCCCCCCCCTACGGGCGTGCCTGTTTATCTGATTATCTGATTATATMTATCCATATCTATCTCTATATTTGTATTATTATTATTGTATGCATATATGGCAGAAGACAGACAYTCAAACATTCATAGATATATATATACGCTGATATTATATATATGTATTTGCGCTGACCAAGTAATAATTATTATTTAGGATCATTAACATTAAATACATATACATTATTTAAATTATATAGATATTATTGTGTTGATAATTTTAGGGCCTGTTGATATACAATGTTCATAGTTCTGTCAGTTTCACAATATATATGTTAAGATTTTTAGGATTACCCCCTCTTGAACATTCCACATATAACTGACCATGGTCGAAACATGGTGTGTCAAGCAGAAGTCCTGTGGACATTAATGATTGTTCTTGAGATTTGTTTATTGTAAACGCGAATGCAAGTTTTACCGGAAATTGTAATCTTTTAAATTCATATGGTATATCATTAGGTTTAATTGTTATTCTTGGTAGGTATAAATATTCACCTTTTCTCACATCCTATTAATATTGTAGCTCCTATCATCTTGTTTCTTAAATCTTTTACAATTAACTGCGTTCCATTGCATAATTTGGGTGGATTAATATTTCTTAAAAGCATATGGGTGCTCCAATTTTCAAAGTTAAAATATGAGAAGGCAACCCCGAAATATCCAAGGAATTTAAGAATTCCATGGGGTAGKGTATTATATCATCGGGATTGCATACAGTATCGATTGATTTGTATATTTTACTTTCTCTTGGATGAGAGTTCAATATATCCTTATTAATATAATTTACTTAATTATTTGTTGGGGCAAGAATGGCTCTTTCACAAGACTATTCACGATTGATATAATTATTTTGTATATCAGGAAATACGTTTTTTATCAAAGATTCTATTGAATTGACAATATTGCAGAAATTAGTTGGGAATTCGATCGTTCCATCTAAATTTTCAGACCATTTTCCATTACCAAAGAGAATTAATTGTTCTGAAAACGCTTTCAATGTAGGATTATGCGTTAAACATACCCTCATGTTTTTATTTAGCATTATAATTTCTGTATGTTTCCAAAGATAAACATTTTTCAAACAAGCATCAATTTGGTCAGCCGGTGTTCCTCGTGTTATTATTGRTAGTGTCTGTCGGAAGTCGCCAGCTAAAATAACAACCACTTTTCTCATTACAGATTTGTTGTTGTTTAAATCTTATAGTTTTACGTAAAGCTTCGGGTCCTTTTTTATTCATCATCGTACATTCATCCCAAACTGTTACTTTAGTTCTTTTTAGTAATTTAGAAGTTGCAAGAATATCTATAATATTATAGTAGGCTATTCTGTTAAGTTAAAGTTCTAGGTAAATTGAAAGAGGTGTGTTGACGAGTGAAGCGTGGAGGGTCATTTGAAGGAATTAGAGAGAGAGAAGGTGCGGTTAGTCAATTTGCCCATTTAATAACTTGGATAAAAATGTTAGCGATATTCAAGCGTAATTGGACCAGCTCCACGACGATTCTTCGCTGTCACAATAAACGTATATTATCTACATTAAAACCAGTAACCAACTATAACHAAATCATCGACCTACCTATATACTGCCATATTTGTAAACATCTGTTATAACAATATTGTACCTATGTAAACATTATAATAYGCTTATAATTTAATGTTGAATTTATCTTCTTTTCTATAACCGTCTTAGAACAAATCAAAAGGTCCTGCCCACCTTTTGGAAATCCGGACGAGAGATTTAGCGTAAAGGTGTTGGGCACTACGTCACCGGTGATAGGTGGATGCGCCTCTATGGTACCACCAAATTCTGACATATTGCAATCGTTTAATTTGTGGCTGGGCAATCATAAAACCGTGGACGGTGGAAAATGCGGTGACAAAAGTACGTACAACAAATAATTATTATTACAGCATAAGAGTGATGGGAGGCGGTCCTTCGCCACGTCATTTGGTCCAAGAAACATGTTCTCATCTAAATTCGGTTGTATATTAAGTATATTATAATATATTGCTGATATTTTTTTGTGTAAAATAAAATACGCAAGCAATAAATACCTTTTAATTTCACATCAAATTGTGTCTATTGTGACAGTAATTTCACTTATTTATTTCATATTTAATTTGAATAGTCGTTTATAGACATAATATATAAATAATACTCCAACGCAATAACTTATCACTCATTATTTTAATTTGGGTTCGATTTATCAGCAGTGTTGAAAATTATCTAGTAAATAATAAAATAACCTAGATGAATAATAACTCATCTAATGTTTTATTTGGATAACAATTTTGACATTTATCTATTGATTAAGTTTATCTAATTTAAGTAAATGTAAATTATATTTATCTTTATCTGTATCTAGACAAATTTATAAAGAACTATCTGTATCTTATATTCTTATTTAAATACAATTTTCATTATCTTTTCTCAACAATTATTTCTCACCTCAAACTACCTTCATAGATTCAAATTTGAATTAAAATAATAAGCGAGTAACTATTGCATTGACATTGTTTATCCATAATATTGTTAAATCTTTAGACTAGGTAGACGTTTGAAATCGTCTGAAGTACGAAATAATAGGTAATAAGTTTTAATTAAAATCGAAAAGATTGGTATCACTTGTCGTGTGACGCGATCGGTTGTCCACTTAATATAATCCCATAGTTCAGAGGTTCTCAAACTTTGCAGGCCAGGCTCCCCCCCCCTTTTAGTTAACCCCAGACCTGAGCCCCCTCCTCATAAAAATAATTTTAATAGTCATGTTTAGAGTAAAAAAATGTTAAAAACAACACGCACTAGAATAAAATAAAATTTATTATTTATTATAAAATATATTTAGCAGTTATCTGTTTTTAATCACAGTTTCGTCTTACTAGGCAAAATATTATTTATTATAGAATACATTTTTTTGTTTTGTTTCAGAAAACATATTTAGTGTATAATATGTCATATTTTAATCTAATGCTATATAAATAAATTATATCTTTTACATTTTACCGTCAGTGAACATAAATAATATCTTTCGAGTCTCAAATATAATACAAATATAGTTGTCTTGTAAAACAAGATGTAAAACACCAGGTGTAGTTGTAGCTCTATAAGACTTACCCATATGACGCCTATGACCCCAATATAATAATAGGAACATCTAAACATAATAGGTATGACTTTTACGCGCGCAAACATGCACACGAAATTAGTGCTTAACATTAAGTCTTAATAGTTAATTCGTCAAAAAAAAAACTGTTTCCTAAAATAGGTAATATATTATATTCATCATACTCTTGTATTTTTTTGTTATCGCATTAATAGATATGGACCACTTCATGTTCGATTGTATGGCGAAACACCCATTCTTTACAGATGAAGACACACTCGAGGGTTGGTATGTAATGTTATACGACCGGATGGCCAGGTGGTCTGGGCGTCAAGACTACAGATGTGCTGTGAGTATATAATGTTAACACATACCTATTCTGTATAAAATTATGTTATCACATTAGATTAGTCAATTATCTACGAAAACCAATTTAATTAATTAACTGTGGGAATAGAGGGACTTACTCAAACGACGTCGTGAATTCACACACTCGTTTTAATTTTATGCGAGTGATAGGTAGTATAACACATATTATAGGTGTACTGGATAAGCTATAAAAAATATTTTGTTTCCAGAAAGTTCAAAATGCTCACATTTAAAATTAAAAACAAATAATATTTTTTTATTACAGAATAATAGATAGGTATCACTAGCAAACAATACCTCTGTCTAAATTGCACCTAGCACCTCCCTCGGCATTGCCCAACTTAAAACAATAGATACCTATTGAATTAATAAGGTTCTCATATTGTGCATATACAAACAAATCTAATTGATATTAAATTCTAATCGGAGTGAATGTAATGATTTTACAGTGGTTTTTTCGTTCTGTCATAAATATTTAAACAATAGAAATGATTCAATTCTCAACTTGAACATTTTATCTAATAGAAATATTAACGTACGTATAGTTGGTACCTTGAGAAGAAAAATTGAATATTCCTATTAATTTTATTAACACAATGTCTGCGCTCAGAATCTTTTATTGTCTGCTATGATTTATCATTGAATTTAAATATAGCAACGACTTGCTTGACAATTATTACTGTACAGTAAAGCGGTATTCACTTGTCCATCTTTTTTAAACACAAAATAGTAAATACAGAATAAAATAGAATGTTTTGCGATTTTTTGGTTATGAGTCATAAATTATGACTTAATTAAACATCCATACATTACATAATGTATATATTTATTAAAGTAAACAATTGTTTGTATTATGTCAAAAATAACGTCTAAACATCAACTAATCGCCAACAGCAATCAGAAACTTACCCATAGTTGTCTTTGAAAAAACAATCATATTTGACGATAAAACATTTGAAATTATAGTTACAGTAGATTGCTGATCGCTATTTATCGATGACTTTGAATTTGTATGCCACGTCATCTAACTATAAACTTATTACAGTGAAATATGCAAACCAAACACAAAATAACGTTGATAGTTAGGACTAGGGTTGGGTCTTTGGTGTACTTATGTTATTTTATAATTTAAATGTACGTTACAGTTAATTTACCTATTTCTTTCTGTTTCTGTTTACCTTATTGCAGTTATATGAAACAGTCAAAGAAGACCCACCATTGATCAACATGGTAATTAGTGCGAACCAATCGTGCCATGGTCTTTTAAAGAGAATTGAACAACCTGAGCATACCGTTCCTAAGGGACTCCGTCATTTTTCTGATGGGTCGGTAGCTCTTCAGTTCAACAAAGACTTGCCACAAAAGCGCGTACGGAGAAAAATACAGTCAGAAGTAGAAAGTGGCGGATACAGGTTAGTGTTGTAGCGACCACATTACACATCATATAATTTAATCATTATATTATAACATCGTATTCATTAGCGTACCCAGGAATTTGTTAATTGGGGTTTATACCTACTCACAATGCGCAATTGCAAAACTTTATTTTTATTTAGTTTCCACATTCAAGTATAATATACCTCGTTAACTTCATAACTAACATACTATATATTATGATACAATCATGCAAATGATTGTTACATTTAAATTGAAGAACTCCATTAATTATTTTTTGATATTTTAATTTTAAAGCAACATTATTATATAATAGTGTTTTATTATTTAAATGAAAATATGTTTTTTTTTTTTGATTTAATGAAAAACCAATTCAATTAAAATTTTTTTAGTGCATTCGATTAGCAACCCTAAAAGGGCTAATATTCAAATATTATTTAACCATACCAACAGTTTAAGTATTTGTATGGATATTTAAAAACAAATATACCTACGAGTATATCATTAGTAGAGATCAAATGTTCATAGTAAATGGTATAATTCTCAAATTTTTCGTTTCATTTTGTTCAATTTAGAAAGAAAAGGGAATTGGTTATCGAGGAAGATCGTATCAAGAAAGGCATAAATAATCGAAAAAAGAGGTGTTACTATCCTAATCAACGTGATGAGCTAAAAAGAATAGAACGTGGTGAATCGATATATGTTAACAAAATTGGTCAAAAATACCCCGACTCTTTGAACAAAACTGCAACTACTCCGTCCAAAGTCGTACAATGAAAACAAAGAAACGTGAAACATTTATTTAATTTTAAGCCCAGACAGCAATTACACATTGTAAAATATTATCAAAACATTGTAAAATTAATAGTAATATTATAGTTAATGTTTCCAAAATATTGTCAAAAAATTTCATAACATTACAAAAACGTTATCACAAAGTTTTTTGGCCATATTTATAAGATCATGGTAACCTTAATTTATTATTAAGGTTACCATGATCTTATATTAAAAATAGTATAACAACATTATCTCAATTAAATTACTTTAATATTATATGATTATTAAAATATTACTTATCCAACTGGAAAATCCTAAACAGTAATTAAACATTTTTTTATATAAATTTAAGCAGTGTTAGAATTATGTAGTTATTAAATAATACATTATAACCTGATGTATAAATCATGTATGAATTCGAATTTTCCAAATAATGACTACTTAAATATATTAAAATTATTATTTTTCTTGAAACCAGCTACCCTTTATTCATTTCAAAAAAGGAAATAATTAATTATATACTGACAATTAACAGAACAAAAAAATAAAAAATCCTTTATTTATATATGATATTATATAAGAATGCATTTATTGTATAGATGACTAATTAAAAGCTAAAATACTTTTTGATAAAAAATAAAATTATTATTTGAGATTTTTTGCTTCTTTTTTTTTAATCTGAAAGGTGCACGAGACAGCAAAATACCCAAACAGTTGTTTATGTCTTTTTCTGAATCACTGTTATATTTAACTGATTTTTTGATTGAATCTGGAAAAAGAACAACATAAATGTTTAAAAAAATATGATATAATATAATAATACCAAGCAGTAATTAAATAAGTAAGAGCAGCACAAATTTAAAAACTAAAATAAATGAAAACAGTTGATACATTTTAATTCCTCACCTATTATCACACGATAACTCAAAATACTGGAAAATGAAAGTTTTTGTTTGAACCCGAATAATGAATAATATGACAATATTTTATCGTCAAACATACGTCCCACTACTCTTCGAACACTGTTGCACAAGTCATTATTATCGATTAAAACAGACAATTTGGTAACCTGAAAAAAACGTAACTATAACACACTATAACTCAAACATACGTCCCACTACTCTTCGAACACTGTTGCACAAGTCATTATTATCGATTAAAACAGACAATTTGGTAACCTGAAAAAAATGTAACTATTATTATATAAAAATTGAAAAATGTTTGAAGTGTACCAACGATATTTTAAAATCAGCAACTTTGAGGTTATCTTCCAATGCTTTTAATTCGCTTTCACTTTTAACTGGCAATATTTGAACAATATTGAATTCATCATAACTTGATGATGTTGAATTAAGATTGTTGTTACTATTATTCATTAAGACTTCAATATTTGTATAATTTGATCGAACCATATTACTCATTAACCCAATTTCATACTTCAAATTTATTAAATTGGTTATGACAAATTTTTGAAAATCATCTAAAATATAAAATTTTACAAATATTATAGTATTATATTTTTAGGATTRTTAATTCAAATATGGGGTTATTATTTGGACTATGAGAGCAAAATAATTTAGATGTCTATCAAAATCTTTTCTAAAATTATTAATTACAATAGATTTTATGGTTTAAGTATGATTAACTAGTATGTGAATATAAAATAAAATGGACCCACCCGGTGGAACCCTAATCGATATTTTTCATCTAGAAGTAAACAACTTTATGAATCATATGTTTTTCTTAATAATGTAACCACTACAGTAAACTAACTGTTTAAAATTTATTTTCTCAGAAAAAAATGTCCATCTATACCAAACACATATTTATRCTAATATATATATACAAAAATACTTATTAACACAATGTGAATTCTTTCTTAGAGTTATAATTGTATTTACAATTTATAATTTCAGTATGAACCCAATTATTAAAGTTTAAATTACATAATACATTAAATTATAAAATTTATAAAATTTATAGCATTTTTTAATGTTATGATTTATATTAATCTTATTTATTCTTGAATAAATACTAATTTGTATTGTGGAATAATTATAATAAATTACACAATATATATAACGTAAATATTATTATAGCTAGTAAACTGTTAAAGGTTTGAATATATTTTTTTAAATGTTGACAAATTCCAAGTGATTGATCCAACTGAAGGGTCCAGTGCAACAACCTGGTATGTCCACTTTTGGAAATTGTTCAGGAGAAGAAAAAAACATTTAAATTCTTTAAT